GCAGTGGGAGGCCCTGAGATCACTCTCTGCAGCCTGGGTGCCCTGGCTGGTTCTTTTCTGAGGAACCCTGGGGTCATGGGGCCCAAGATGCTGGGTATTTTCAGACCAAAGAAATAAACAGGCTACGGGGCTCCTGTGACCGCCCTGGATCAGCGTCGGGCCTGACAAAAGGTCCTGCTCATTGAGTACATCCTTGGTGCGGTGGCTGTTGATCTATTTTAATCCTACCCTTGACTTGGGCAGATCTTTGCCCATTTTGTACATCACAGAACAGAGACCCAAAGAAGCAAAGCTTGCAGGCCCAAAGCAGCGGGGGAGAGACCCAAGGGGCCAGTTCCACACCTGTGGCCACCCTGTCTCAGGATGCTGGTGGATGACCTGGCCTTCCCTGCCCCCTCCAGCACTGGACTGCCCTGCCTCCAGGGGTGGGGGCTGCAGGTGGCTACGAATGTGGCAGGGCTGGGGCGGGGGACGTTGCTGGGAGCTCTAGAGCCCTCCAGTTCCCGACTCTGACTTATACCATGACCAGAGGGTTTGGGGTGAGCCAGGAGGGCACCCCCTTCCCCTTACAACCACCAGGGGCCAGGAAATGCCATCATTCAAAGCCCAATTCCTTTTCTTTTGTCACATTCTGGGGAAGAGCAGCAATCTAAGCTTAAAAGCGATAGAGGAAATAAAAATGGGAAAGGCAGATGGATTGGGCTACTCTGGAAGCCGGACAAATGGCCCCAGTAGAATGGCGGGCAGCAACCTGAGCAAAATCTTTGCAGCAACAAGGCTGCCGGCTTTGTTATCTCTGCTCTGTAACAAGCAGGTGCGGGAAGGCAGGGAACTTGCAGGTGAACCGGGCAAAGGGCAGGAACTTATGATTCACACTACAAAGGAAACACGAATGCTTAACCAGCGCATGGAAATAATTCATTCCTACTCAAATGTAAAAGCAATGGAAATTTTAATAAATGCAATTCCATTCAAACGAACAAATATTTTAAAACATGAAGTTATTTAATCTACCGCTGAATAACGATCACCATCTTTAACTGAACTCATCACCTACATGCCTAGCAGGCCTCTCCAAGCTCCACCGTGTTCGCCATGCCAATCTCCACAGAGGTGCCAGTGCACAGAGGGGGAAACTGAGGCTGAGAGGTTCGTCACATCATGAGCTCTGAGTTGCACAGCTGGCGCGAGTCTGAGCAGTCATCCGTTGGGTTACAAGTGGGGCTCATTTAACTGTTACTAGTTCTCAAAGTGCGTCCTTTGACTGGGGACCATGGTAGAAATGCACGGGATTAGACCCTGCTCCTGAGCTACTGAGTGCGGAAGCTGGGGATGGGGCTCAGCCGACTGTTCGGAGCTTCTGACACTGCAGGACAGAAACTGTTGCTCCGGGCTGCAGGTGAGTGAACACATAGCGGGCACCTGCCTGCAGGTGAGCTCTGCCGGTCCAACTGTGTGGAGTTACCTAGAGGCCACGGGTATTCGGAGCCTGAGGAAAGGCCGGGAGTCGCACCTCTGAGAAGCCCAACAGACAAGGCTTCCTTGAGGGAGGTGTTTAAGATGGGGGATTTATGAACATGTGAAACAGGAAGCAATCTGAGTCTCCAGCAGGAGGGGATCAGAGAAAATCTGTAACTCATCTGTAAGATGGTTGCTGTGTGGTTTTGAAAAGAGAGACTGTGAAGCATCTGTAACATGGTACAATGAACGTGGCAACTGGTTTGCCCAGGACTTTCCCAGCATCCGCACAGAAGTTCTGATTCCAGGAAGTTCTTTGGTCTGAGCAGGCGGAGCTTCTTGGTCACTCCAGTTATAATCAGCATCGTATTGATGCTGCACACCAAGGATTTCTGTTCTTCCTTCCTGCCGGGCAAGTGATTCATGGGGCACTGGTGTCTCGGTACTTCCTCTTTCCTTGAAGTCTGGTGACCACATGACTTCTTGGTTCAATGAAATGTGAGCAGAAGCAACTCACTTCTAGACAGCTCTCCTGGCAGCCCTCGCCAGTGGGGCACCTGCTCAGCCTGGGCCCCTGAGTGCCTGTGCTGAGCAGAGACCCCCTCCAACACTGGCCTAGACATGCAGCTATTGTGTGAGAAGCCATCGGGATCTGGGGATCTGGGGGTCTGCAGCATACCCTCACCTGCCCTGACCGGTCCACATGGGGCATGGTATTTATGGAAGACACAGGTTACAAAATTGCTTTTTCTGTACCCTTGCAGAGATATAACTCTTAAGGCTGTGTGCTGGAGATACTTGAACCTACTTGGAGAGGGATATTTGGGTTTTCTGCCCCTTGGCTGTATGGTCCAGTCTCCCACAATGCACACGTCTTATGACTTCTTGAGTGGGGGATATTTTATTAAAAATTTCTTTGGAGCAAAGGCCCTGGACTCTTACTTATTCAACGAAAATCCTTTGGGGTGGGGAGGAAGAGAGTTAAGTGTTAGCCTGGAAGGATGAAAGGGGCCAGAAAGGTCACAGAACTAATTCTTAGTTTTATGCTGAGCTCCTGCCAGTTGCCGGATGCCATGCTGATCAGATGCCACCAGCTGATCTGCTGTGGGCAAGTCACACACTTCCTGAGCCTGCACACCCTCATTTGTTGAATGGGCCGCTGGGAGTGTCAGACACGACACAGTATGTTCTGCTCTGTCTTCCTCATGGAGCCTGTGGCAGGTCTTGTAACACTCACGAAGGATATTTTCCTCTTGAAGGAGGGAAGGATGTGATAAAGGCCAGGGAATACCTAGATGGGTGTATTGGTCAGCTTTCCTACCACTGCAGCAAAATACCTAACACCCACAACTGAAAGGAGAAATTTAATTTGGCTCATGGTTTCAAACAATTCAGTCCATGGTCAGTCGGTTTGAAGGCAGAAACTCCATGGCAGAAGGCTGTGGAGCAATGGTGCTTAACCCATAACAGCCAAACCACAACAACCACAACAGCAGCCACCATCACCACCACCAGAGAGATAGAGCAGCGGAACTGGGAGCAGGAACACACCCTTCGAGTGATCCGCCTTCTCCAGCCAGGCCCCGCCTTCTCTAGCCAGGCCCCACCTTCTCCAGCCAGGCCCCGCCTTCTCCAGCCAGGCCCCGCCTCCTAACAGCACACTCAGCTCTGAACTCATCAATGAATGAAGCCAGTGATCAGTACAGTACCCCATGATCCAATCACCTCCTGAAAACCCTACCTTTGAACCCATGAGAGTTTAGGGGACACTTTAGATCTAAACCCTAACAGTGGGGCTAGAAGGCCCCATGCAGAAATAAAGAGGTGAGCAAAGAGAGCTGCTGGGCTTGGCATCTCCTTTGGAGGTCACGGGGCCAGCATAGCTGCTTTTCTGAAACCTTGGGGAAGCCCTGTGGGATGGGGTGGTCAGGGAAGCCTACCAGATCATTATCTGTGCACAAAGCACTTCGGGCAATGTCCCCACTTCCTTGCTGAGCTCTTGCGAATATTTCTCATCTGTAGGAGGCCCATGCCTCGGGGCCCTGGGCAGTCTTGGTTTTCTCTTGTTCTCCCTGGCATCCCTCTAATCCAGCATGATGGCACTGTCAGAAGGGCCGCACAGTGGGTGATCACCTTGTGGCCCCCTATGCCTACTATGTTCCAAATCAGCCAGGGTTGTTTCTGCATGGACCCAGGTCCTCTGCTGAGCCTGGGTCCTTCCCATGCATGGGGTAACTGATTGGCCCTACATGTGCGGGGGGCTGGCACGCTGGCGGAGGTCAGGCCTGAGTGGGTGCGCCATGTGACACGGAGGACAGGGCTGGGGGGCAGGGGAAAGTACAGGGAGACCCCCACACTTAAGATCTCTATTGGGGACAGAAGTGGCAGGGGCCTCGTGACCGCGCCTACTGCAGCTCTGCCCTGCAGTTGAGTTAGGAGAAGCAGGCTTAGCTTGGGAGGGGACAGGGACTTCTGTGACCCAGAGTAGTTTCTACCCCTTGCTCCAGGGCAGTTCCTAGGTTCCCGATGTCCTCTGCCTCTCAGCCTGTACCACTAGGTCACCAGGAGATTCTGAGGATGAGGACTTCAGGTGGGGAGTCTCCACCTGTGGCCTTGAGTTGAGGAAACAAGGCCCAGAGAGAGCCGTACAGCCCGAGATGGGAAAGCAGAGGTTCGAATCCCTGGGACCTGCCAATATGTCCCGAGGCTAGGATGACCGAGAGGGGTGGTGATGCGGGGAGTGCAGGAGAAGGAGGGCAAATGGGAATGGGGAGATGAGGGGTGCAGGAGCGGGAGAGCAGGATTCCCCGATCCTTTCCGCCTGGGTGTCCTGCAGCCCTTTTGGCTCAGGGTGGACCGTTCCTCTCCCTGCCCCCGAACCCTGCCCCGTTCGCCCTCTTCCAGAGCTGGACTGTTCACCCCTCAGCCCCGCCCCGCAGGGGGAGCCTTCTCGCCCTCCTCTGTCTGCTCAGCCTCTGGCCTGCACTGAGATTCATCCCTGCTCTCTGGAGCCTGGGGCTGGCTGGAACTTGGCCCTGGAAGCCTGCGTCCTCTCTGTGCCCAGGGAGGCTCTTCCCTGGAGGGCAGTTGTGGCTTCCAGGCAGAGGGGCCTCAGCTTCTGGAAGGAGCCCAGTGTGATAGGAACAACTCTGCCCAAGCAGCAGGGGGAGCGGGGCCAGGCTTGGTGGGCCAGGGCCTCCCTGGTGAATGTGGGTACAGAGAGGCTCAGCCACTTGTCCAAGATTGCGACCCACCTGTGTCTGACCTGAGGTTCCCTTCTTCAGCCCCCTGGGTGAGGTTTGGTGGGGCTGGGGGTGTGCAGGCCAGAGAGGCAGGTCATCCCATCACAGGAAGCAGGGTTGAGGCTGGTGCTGCTCTGGCAGGAGGCGGCTACCTTTGATTCTTTGATGCTCTTACTTGTGAACCCCTGGGGGATGCCTGAGTCATCGCTGAGCCGGCAAACATATTTAGCTCCTTTCATCGTCCCTAATAGATAAAATTCTCCAGGTCTCTCACACCTGCCTCCAGCTCGGGCTGCCTGCCCCATCTCCTGTGCCCCCGGTGCGGGGAGCCCTGGTGCTGTGCTGGCCTCTACTCAGCGGCCGTTGCTGGGTCCCCCACAGCTTCCTGTGGTCGAGCTGGGGCGCAGGGATGTGGGGTCACAGCACTGTGCTCGAAGCCCACCCCTGTCAGAGCCCGGCATCCTTTCACCTCGAAACGTTGTGGCCCCTATGCCAGTGTGTGGGCTCAGAGATCCCCAGCCTTGTCCTGCACCCTCAACCTGCCTCTCGCAGGCCCCCCTGGCTGGAAGGCCCAGGCCTCCACTGAGCTTGCTGCGGGCGCCTCTTCTAAGAAGCCTTCTGGATGTCCTCCTCCCTACCCCGGTTTCCCCTTCCTCCCGTGGCTCCATCTGCTTCACCTCCCAGGATAGTGCACACAATCTGTCTGTGATAATAAACCCAAGTAGCCAGTCAATGCTGTCCTGGGCATTCTGCATATATTCAATGGTCCACATTTTATGGATGGGAAGTTGGAAGCCCAGAGTGCTCTGCAAACTTGTTTAAGGCTCGTGGTACAACTGGGCCTTGAACCCAAGCCAACTGGGTGGCCCTCACTGCTGCCCCCTGTGGCCTCTCATGGTAAGTGACTTTCATTCTGGTGCCTGAGACCCCGGGCCATGAGGAAGTCTGCTCATTAAAGGTTTGTGCTGCGGAACTCAGCTGGCCCAGGTCCCAGAGAGAAAAATCACCGTGAAAAACCCTGCAGCAGAAGTGAGTGAGCCTGTCTTCTTGTGCCAGGCAAGGCAGAAGATGAGGAAGCCCCCGCTAGTGTGGTCCATGGGCCTCTGCCAAGCCCACAGTGCCCCCCCAGGATGTCCTGGCTGGGGGTTCCCACTGACAGTCTCTGCCAGTGCTTGTGGTGGTGGTGGTGGTGGTGGTGGGGTTGTTCTCATCCACGTGTGGTGGGTGCCCCCTGCTGCCCAGCATGAGAAGTAGCAGGATGGACAGAGGTGGGCACAGGCTGCCCCGGGCGGGTTAGAGACCTGGGACAGTGGGTCAGAGTGGGACTCTCCCGGTTCTGTGTCCTGATCATCTTTGGGTCTCTGGCTCTGTGCAGGGATCCTGGTACACAGCAGATGCTCAATGAACACGGTGTGGAGGCAGGAACGTGTAGGAGAGTTGGCCAGGTCAGCTTCTTAGGGTCTTCGAGGAGCAGTGGGATTTCAGGTAGGAGGCTGAGGTAGGACGTGGAGCGCCCCTAACGCCTAAGGGGGCTGCCTCGTGCCCTAGGACTCAGGAGCACTAGAGTGTGAGCTCGGGCACCGGGACTCTGTCCTTCCTACCGGAGCCTAGAGGAGCGCCCAGGGCAGCATCAAGGCTTGTACATGTTTGTAGGAATACAAGGGAGCAAAGCCCACAGAATCAAGTCCCTCCGGTGACAGCCTGGGCTTACTCGAGACATGGAGATCATCACTTGCCTCTTGCCTAGTGACTTTTTCTACCTGTGGATATCACTGCCTGCTGGAAAGTTCTTTTCCTTTACCCTGCTGGGCACAATCAGCTGCCTAGAGGGAGCCCTGCCTGAAGTCCAGCCTGAGGTCCAGCCCCTGGGGACTCCTTTGAGTGTGGCAGCCTCAGGTTCCTAAGGATGGGGTTCCAGGGCCTTCTGGGTGCCCACCTTCCCTGTCCGGGGAAGGGACGAGGGTGAAGAGGTTGGGGAAAGAGCCTCCCTTGTGAGTTGGACCATGCATTTTATTCTGACTGCTGAGTGATTTGCAGAACAGCTCTGTGCATGTTGGTCCTCAAGGATGGGGCGGGGGGAGCTGAGGATCAGAGATGGGAGGCAGTGGACTGAGGTCACACAGCCCATGTGTTCCAAGGACAAGAGAGGATCTCAGAAGGCCTAATCTCCAGCCCAGGGCTCCTTCCATGACCTCTGGTGCCCATTCACGGGCCAAACGGGGCAGTTGAGGGGGGCTCAGCTACATTCCCAAAGGCCTCCTCCCGCAGACCCAATCTGGGCCTCATCTGGAGCAATCTGGCCACCAGGTGCTTGCACACCCCCAGGAACAGGGGTCTCACCCCACTGGCGGCGACCCCATCCTGACCTCGTGGAGTGTGCATGTGTGGGGGCAGGAAGGAGGGCGGTTGCCTGGTGACCTGCGGTTCCCCCTGGGAAGTCGGCCTGCTACACGCGCCCACTCATCTTGGCAGTGGGGCAGAGGCCTTTCCTGTTGCCCAGCCAAGGAATCTCCCTCAGGGGGCTCCCTGGGCCTGGGTGAGGGTGTGAGACGCTCTTCTGAGAAGTGGGGCCTCCCGGAGCGAGAGTCGCCTTTGGTACCAGGGAGCAGCGCCTCTGTGATGTGGCTGCAGAAGGCCGGGGTGCTGGGTGCTGGGACCTGCTGCGCCGGCCAGGGTCCAGCGGGAAAGCCCCTGGCGAGGCTGCCCCCCAGGCCTGAACCCCAAGTCCCTCAAGGCTCAGCACTGCTTCTACACAGCGGCCAGCGAGTCTGAGGCTGGGGCTGGGGCTCCTGCTGTGCCCCGTGTCCGGGCCCCGGGCCTGGGCCACATGTGTGCTGAGCTCTGCTGCAGCAGGAGGGCTGAGCCCAAACTCAGGATGGGGCTCGCAGAGACACCCCGGGCAGGGGGAGCCTGGCTGAGGGTAGGGAGCCCCCAGGTCCCCGATGCCATCTGAAGGCGAAGATCCCTAAAAGATGCAGTTCTGGGTCTCGCCGTCTGCTGCTTTTCTCTTCTGTACCTTGGGGGACCTAGGAAGCAGGGCTGCTGGGCACCAGGCTCTGCGCCCTCTGGGGTCCCCACTGGGTCCTCTTGAGGCGACTGGGGGGTCTGCAGGCAGGAAAGGCGGGGGCCTCCCTGCTCCACCCCCACGGCGGCTCACTGCTTGCTGGCAATCTTCTTCCTCCGGGCAGAGACCAGGTCATAGAAGGGGACGCGGGTGATGCTGGCCCTGCGGGAGCCGTGGGGGACATGAAGATTAGGGCTGAGTGGTGGTTAAGGAGTCGGGGTTCCTGGGGCTAGTGACTGGGGGTGTGGGGCTTCCAAGGAGGCGACCCCAGCAAGGGCAGTGTCCAGGGTCCTGTGAGCAGGGTCTGAGCTCCCACCGGAGATGGAGGAGGAGGAGAAGGAGGAGGAGGGCCTGAGTCAAAAGATTCTGCAAGTCCCCAGGACAGTGACCACCTCGACTACTTCAGCTAACAGTCTCCCCTGTACCAATGTCTGGCGCAGAGCATGGTTTCCAGCTCGTCCCTACTGGGTTCCTCTCCCCTGCCTTTCTCCGTCAGTGGCCACATCAGCCTCTCTGGGTGGTGGTGACACCATCTGGTTCCCACACTGTGGCTTTTCTCACCTGGAGACGTCCTCCCTATTCATCAGTCTGTGGCTCCCCAGTGTCCCAGGAGAAGCTGAAGCGCGTCACCATGGGGACTGTGGCCTTACTCTCTGTGGTGTCCTCTCCTGCTGCTCAGTCCCTACAAGGACCAGCTTCACCTGGTCCCTGGGGTTCTATCCAGGGGGCCCCCATGGACTGGCCCCCATGCTGCCCCTTCACCTGGAGAGCCCTCCCCTCCTCCACCAAGGGCAGGACGTAATGAGGGCAGCATTTAGAGGGCTGGGGATGGGCAGGGGCTTTCTGGCGACTTGCTCCCACCAACCCCTAAAGCTGGTCCCTCTCTCCCGTGTCCTGCGCCTGGCATGGAGCCTGCCTCTTGGGACATGACGAAGGGACACTTGTGGAAGGGACTGTCATGCTAGAAGCTGAGACCCCAGAGAAGCAAGGGCCCGGGGGGAGGTGACAGGAAGCCATCCCACACCGCCACCCTTACCGGATGGCTTCGATCCACTGGTCGCGCTCCTTGGCGCTGGCGGCTGAGATCCGGTAGGACTCATGCTTGCCTTCCACCACCCTGCCGTCGCCATCTGTCTTGCAGGCCTTGATCTTCTGGCCTCTGCAGCTGGGGTTGTAGAGCTCCAGGCAGAACTGCGGGAGGGCCGGGAGGCAGGCAGTGGGCAGGCAGCCGGCCCCGTTCTCTGGGTGCCTCCAGAGGAGACAGGTGCTCTAGGGATCCCCGGGAGGACTCCCCCCAGCTCTGACAGGCGCACTGCTGTCCCCTGAGTCCTGTAGGACGGGTGGGACACAGGCTCAGGGCGCAGCAGTGCTTGCAAGAGGTCCCCCAGCCAGTGCAGAGTCGCTCTGGAGCAAGCGGGGCCAGGCCCTTTACATGGTGCTGAGCAGGCTCCAGGGCCCACGGCCCCAGGAAGGGGCAGGCAGAGACCCATGTCCAGGAAACCCTGGTCCCTGACCCTTCTCTGCCCTCAGGGACGCCGCCCAACATGGCACATACCGGCTTCTTGGGGTCGTCCACCTTCTGCACAGAGAGGTTCTCCAGGGGGATGATTCCCCGCGGCTCCTTGTCCTGGGGGGGAAGAAGGCAGTCAGACAACGGAACCGTGAGGTCAAGTGGGGGCAGGAGCAAGGCTGGGCTCTCCAGGCCCAGAGAGGAGGGGCCCATCTTCCCTGACTCCGCCCAGCCTCCTCTTTGGCCTCACTTTTCCTCCTCTGTAAAATGGGCATGCTGACCCATCTCAGAGGGTCCTGGGCTCTGCCAGGCGACTGCCTGGAGGGACGGGAGAGGGTGGCGGGGGAAGGGGTGGCTCACAGTGGTGAACTCGAAGTAGTAGAGGCAGTTGTCGGTGAGGATGAACCAGCGCCGTTTCCAGGTCTTCACGCGGCCCCCTGAGGGAGGTGGGCAGCGCAGCGGTCAGTTCTCCTCTTCCTGGGCCCTGGCGGCCCCTCCCACACTGTCCTGGACTTAGGGGCCACTGTGCCCTCCCTACCCTTCCTTCCTGGCTGCTGCTCCCCTCTGAGCACCCCTTGGTCACCCCTTCCACCACCACCCCCGGGCCTGCATCTTCCATCTTCCAGGTGAGGTTCTAGGGGACTTAAAAAGCACTCCGTTCTCCATTCCCACAGCCACCCCTGAGGAGGGACCTTCTCTATTTTACAGCTGAGAAAACCAAGGCAGAGAGAAAGGCTCAGATATTGGTCAGGACTGGGGTTCACACTCCGAGCTCTTGCTGGTTTTGCTGAAGTCTGGGGATCTTTGTCCCCGTTTTCCAACTGCAGAAACTTTGGACCAGGATGAAGGAGCCTGTGAGGCTCAGGACTGGTGACAGCGCTTTCCCAGGGCTGGCCAGGACCGGGCTCAGACCGGCTGTGGCTGGGGTCCTGTAGGTCCACACGCTGCTGGCCCGGGACGGGTGCTGGGGCCGTGTGGGGCTGGGGGCTGCCTGACCGAGACCCCTGTGTCCCCTCCGCTGCCTTGGAGGACCTCTGTCCCTGGCTGCCTGTCCCTGATGGGGGCTCTGGGAGTGTGCGTGCAGGACGCGGGGCAGATAGCCCGCCCTGTTACTCCCTGGCTACACCCTGCAGCTGCTGCCACTGCCACACCCACTATGGCTGTCACCGCGTCCCCTGAGCTACACCCTATCACCCTCCCTCCCCCTCCTGCGCCCAATGCACTGCACCCCCAAGTCTGCTGTTCGTGGGCTCTGTGGCCTTGGGCAGGTGCCCTACCCTTGATGAGCCTTGGTTTCTACAGAAAGGCCAGCCAAGAGCTGGGCTGAACAGGGCCCAGCACCTTGGCCTCGCTGAGTAGGTCCTGACCAACTGGGGCCTCCCACTGAGACCCCTCTCCCAACCCTCGGAACTGGGTGGGCCTCTCCGCCTCCTGCCCTCACATCTCAGCTTTTCCACCGATTCATTCTCGGGCCAGTGGAGGCAGACTCAGGGCCGAGTGTTGCAGTGGGCCGTTAGCTATCACTGAAATCTCAAGAGTTTCACCATCACTGCCTGGGCCCCTTGAGTGGATGGAGGGATGGATGGGTGGGTGTATGGATGGGTGTATGGATAGGGGAGTGGGTGGACAGATGTGTGGATGGATGGACGGATGGGTGGGTGGAAGGATGGATGGACGGGTGGATGGATGGATGGATGGATGGACGGGTGGGTGGACGGGTGGATGGAGCAGGAAGACCATTGTGCCGTGGTTCATGAGATCTGGAGCTGCGGCAACCCGACCCCGGGGCTGCACGTGCAGTGTTAGCTGCGAGCCTGCACTTGCCTGAAGGTGCACGTGAGCTAGGGTGTGTGTGCGAGTGTGCAAGTGCACGAGTGTGTACAGGCCTCTCACCCAGCTTGAGCAGCCAGCCTTCTCGGTCTGGATTGAAGAAGGTATAAGTGAGGTCGCTGCCGTCGTCCTCAGGGATGGAGAAGGGCTCGCTCTTGATGCTGTCGAAGAGGTTCTGTGAGGGAGCAGAGGAAGGACCTGACATGTGGCTGGGAGGGCCGGGCTGTCCCTCCTGACCTGCAAGCCCTTCACCCCGGCCCCCGGGGGCCCGCTGGTCTGCCTTTTCTGCCCTGGGCCTGGCTGTGCCCAGCTCCTTGTCCTGACTCCTGTATGGGAGGTCAGGGCCAGTGCCTCAGAAGCAGACCTGCATGTGCACATGCAGTCCGGGCGCAGCAGCCGGCGTGAGGACCACCTGGGGGCCGTCCCTTCTGCTGTAGGGAGCAGCTGAGCCCTTCTTACGCACGCAAGGTTGGGTACACAGGGATCTAGCGGCCGAGGGTCCCCTTTCCCAAGGAGCCCAGGCTGTACAGGCTCTGATAACAGGGATGGGGCTCGGGGTCCCTGAGAGCAGATTTCAGGCCCCACGCAGGACTCTGGCAGTAAGAGCTACTGAGATCTGGCAGGTGCAGCCATGTAGGGAATGAGCTGTCTGTCCTTGGAGGTATGCAAGCCAGGGCTGGGCTCCCTAAGGGCAGGGTGCAGATGCTGCCCTGTGTGTTTTGAATGTCCTGCCACAAGGCACTGATTGGATTCCAAGAGACACCTGCCTGGATTTCCAGGCTTTGGAGGCACACACTATAAGCTGCTTGGCTCTTCTTGTTAAACCAGACAGGATTCCATCTGAAATAACAAAACCGTTTCCTCCTGTTGCATCTGTGTGGGCTGATAATGGTTTCCTTGAGATTTTCAATGGAAAATTTCACGAGTCTTGTTCCATTCTCCCCAAGTTTGCGAAGTGGTGCTTGCTGGTTGTTTACTTCCTTTCTGCTCTGAGAGCTTGGGGGTTTGGAGGGGTGTGGGCTGAAAGCCGGCTCCCTGGGCTCTGTGGAGGTGGCACTTGGGCACGTCTCGAAACCCAGCCTGGCCACGGTGGCGGGGGTAGGGGAGCAGGGACCCGTGTCTCCCGGGAGATCTGCGACTGCCGGGCTCAGCCTCCCCTGGGAACTGCCAGGAGGCGCCGGATGGTAGAACAAGGGCTTGTGGCAGAGGAAGGCTCACTGGCAGAGCTGTCACCAGGGACAAACACTGGGGAGACCCAAGCAGGCGGGCGGGGGTGGGAGGTGGCCTCCTCCAAACCCACAGGGGGCCCGGCAGCCGCTGCGGTCACTGTATCAGCCTGAACATTCTGCCCCCGCAGAGAGGCAGCTCAGCTCACCCACGCTTCCTGTACCTTGTAAACACCCTTGTATCCACTGTCACCACTGTCCCATGACTGGGTAGATGGCGGAAATGTCGGGCTCCTGCCCATCCCCCACGCCGGCAGGGCCCCCTTCTCGGCAGCTCTCCAGGGCAGGGTGTGTGGTGGGGGGTTAGCACCTCTGGGCTCCAGGAGGCAGAGAATGATTCACATCTGGCTGAGCTGGGCCTGTCACCCC